GGAGTGGAAGGATCGCTTCTCAAATGCCCGTAACCTGCAACCGTGGGGGTTTAACGTTAACTACGATTGTGGCCGATGGATGGTAATGCGCAATCACCACTGTGCTTTTTAAAACAACAGTGAAGCCTGATGGCAGCTTAAAAAGCCGTATTTGTCTTCTCCCTCCTCCTGGAAGTTGAGCAGCATCTTCGCTTTAACAGCACTGAAGAACAACGTCGTTTCCCATCGAAACCGGTCTCTAAAGATCCCAGCCAACAAGTTTCCCCTTCCTGTCTTTCTTTCCCCATTTATTTTATTTGGAATGATCAGCTGTAACAATCCGTGCTTTTTGTTTCTCTGACGCGGTTAAAATATATGCTGGCTTTCTGTGTTTTATATACTTTAATGATTTCTTGGTTTTAGCGCCCTAACAGCATAAATCATTGCCCTTTTGAGAACTTCTTCCCAAATTCTCCAGCCAGCTTGCTGACTGAGGTATTCTGGAAGCTGTTTTTTTTAAAAGTAGCTTTCCCAAGCTCTGGACAGAGTAGGTCATTAAACTATAAAATTCACTTCCACAATTAGGGATTCATTTCCATCAGCATGAATGGTGCTAACAAGATGTTAGCAGAATGCATGGAGAAGTCTGTTAGTGGATTGTAACTGGTGGAAGCTTATGTTCAAATAATAATGTCCTGTCAATTACAACTTTTTAAAAAAGAGGAATAACCTCCCCGGAAGTGATCAACCACTTCGTTCTTCTAGAGGGCACCCTGGGACTGAACAGCTTGCCCAAGGCTACGTAGGCTTGCCCTTCTTCTTGCAGGCTGGGTGGGGACTTGAACTCCCAAACAACATTTACCATAGTGAATTGTCTGACCTGCTATCTTGTGCTAAAATAGATCTGTTTATCTTGCTAGCAGTGTGTCTTCTGGGAGATGTAGTCCCCTGGCAAGTAACCCCTATTTCTGGCTCATACAGAGACATGTTTGGCAAATACAAAGAGTACAGTGCAGGTCTGCATTTAGCAGTTGTATGGTACCAACACAGCCTAGCTGCATCTGGTTCTGGCAGCCTTGTCCATAGACAAATATTAGGCAATTCTAATTGAAGCAGTTGGGTCACCAGGTAAAAAGTGGTGTTCTGGATCAATCTATATAATCTGTGTAAGGGACGTGGTGGCGCTGCGGACTAAACTGCAGAAGCCTGTGCTGCAGGGTCAGAAGACCAGCAATCGTAAGATCGAATCCACGCAACGGAGTGAGCGTCCGTCGCTTGGCCCAGTTCCCACCAACCTAGTGGTTCGAAAGCATGCAAATGCGAGTAGATCAATAGGGACCACTTTAGTGGGAAGGTAACAGCGTTCCGTGTCTAAGTCGCACTGGCCATGTGACCACGGAAGATTGTCTTCGGACAAAAAACGCTGGCTCTATGGCTTGGAAACGGGGATGAGCACCGCCCCCTAGAGTCGAACACGACTGGACAAAAATTGTCAAGGGGAACCTTTACCTTATATAATCTGTGCATCTCTGGAACAAATGCAGTGAAACAAAGAGCACCTCCCTCCATCGCCTGGACATCTAATGAACATGTTAATGATGCTTAGTTCATCTGAAGAGGGTCCAGATGTTTTACTACTAATTGCTTCTGTGGAGAGGAATACTCAATGCCCACAAGAAGTGATCTAAATGTCGAGGATCTCTGGTTTTGAACAGATAAGCAGACTGGTAGAAGGCTTTTAATTAATGCATGAAAGGAGGGGGCAGTTAATTAACTTGGATGCTTTGCTGAATTCTGATGGTAGTTTTGACAAAAGAGGAGTTATGAGCAAACAATGGCTGGTTCATACATGCCTTGCATATCTGAACAGCTTCCTTCACTCCAGTGCTCTCTTATTGAGTTTTAATAGCACTAGGGTTACAGCTAAGGTGGCTGGATAGCTCAGTGGTTTAGGTACCTGGCTGCAGAGCCAGAGGGTGAGAATTAAGTCCCCCACTGGGCCTTCGGGGAGAAAAGCCAGCCTATGTAGTCATGGGCAAGCTGCACAGGCCCTGAGCGCCTGCAGAAGAAGGGATTGGTAAACTGCTTCTAAATATTCTCTACATAGAAAATGCTGGAAAGGATTGCCTTAAGTCAGAATTGACTTGATGGCGCACAATTATTCTTCGGGTACAACTTCAGGGTTGAAAAAACGTTGTTTCTCTGGGCTTGAGGCGAATCAGCAGGTTAGGGAGCTATTTGGCTAATCTAACAGGTCAAGGTGGACCCTGGAACACAGCTTGGAAAAATTACCTTCTGGATGACAACCTCCAGAATCCTTCACCTGGCTGGGACCCAGAGCATCATCCTAACACAGCTTAGTTATGGAAGCCTTGTACAGTATATTAGATCTTTCTAAAAGCTTTCCCAAGCTTTGCTATTACTCCCAATGGTTTAACAACAAAAGCCTTCATTTCCTTCTAAATTAGGCTGCTGAATAGTTGTGGGGAAAAACAGGTATAAATAGACATGGTGGGGTGGAGGAGGATGGAGGATTTGTATGTATGTTCTGTTACTTGAAAAAAAACATTCCCTGGGTTGGCCATGTGTTCAGATGCATTGTGGCCCATTGCTCTGTGAGCCTTTGGTATTTCAGCAGGGAGCCTTGAGCGGTCAAATGCAAGCCTACAAATCTAAACTCTCCTCACTCTTGAATTACTTGACCATACATGGTTTTATTGGTAGGACAAATAAAATGCTGCTTGGTTTGCAACCCTAAGTGGGAAGTTTAACTGGTGAGTTGTTTTGCTCTTGTCTAATTATTGGGTATGTTTAGATGCAGGGACATGAGCTTGGACTTAATGTAAACCAGGACTCATTTGAATTGAGGCTTAGGGCGTGTCCTGACCAAAATATACTTAAAGATTGCTACTAGGATTGCTGTTGATATGGTTTGATTCAAACCAAATTCTTTTGTCCACACATATTTATTTATTTATTTATTCTATTTATATCCCGCCTATCTGGTAACATGACTACTCTGGGCGGCTCACAACATCATAATACAATAATAGAATAATAACAGCAGCAATTTAAAAAAAAGAATTATTACAATCAATACTTAGATCGATCTGTCCTGTCCCTGTAAGAGCTGTGCCGCTCCTTTCTGGCACAGTGCTAGGATTATCCCCTCTCCGAATTTGACATTTGATGCACTCCTAATTATCCTGTTGTGTGGCCTGTGTGGAGGGCAAGGGTATTAATCCAATTTAAGTGGACCAAGAAGTGGACTGGGAGAGTGATTTTTTTCATGATCTAACAACTACTGTAATTTGAAATGCAGACTGCTTTTAAAAAAAAACCTTTAAAAAACCCAATAGAGGAATTATTCTTGTCTACTGCTATTAAAGAATTCTGGACTACAAGATCCAATTCTAAACTGAGTTTTTTCAAATGAGAGATATTCTGGCAACTGTGCGCACATTTATATAATTAGAAAACTTAGGTGAAAACTCTTCTTATCATATGCATTTCAACAAGCTAGTTCCAGCAGCTTACATATCAGCAGTAAGTCTTTTGTAAAACTAGTGGGTCTTTCAGCCACCCTGAAAACTTCACTCTAAAACTCAGTAGCCTTGACATGCCTTCTGCTATCCACTTCAGAGGGAAAGCAAACAGCAGCCCTTCCATTACAAGCAGATCAGAAGTCCATGACCTGCTGAACTTGTTAATTAAGAACCTAGTGGCTGAATTGGCTCCTCCCCTCCTTCTTTGGGGTTCACTTTCTTTTTGTGTCATGTGTTTTTGGACTATAAGGCCATGGACATGGTCTGTCTCATTTATGACCTTTGTAAGTTTCTTTGGGAGCTATTTTTGAGACGAAAGACTGTTGGAACATGGGTTCGATAAATAAAACATTAAAAATCGAAGCAAAGTTTTACTCAGGACATGATCATTCTGTTTTAGATCTTGGCAACCGTTTCTTTGTCAGGAAGAATGCGGTTTCATAGGTAAAAATGAGGTTCCGTATTAGCAACAGTAAAATCTGTCACAGTAAAATCTGTCACTGGAGGCAGTGACAGATTTCACTTTCTTGGGCTCCATGATCACTGCAGATGGAGACAGCAGCCACGAAATTAAAAGATGTCTTCTTGGGAGGAAAGTGATGACAAACCTCGACAGCATCTTAAAAAGCAGAGACATTACCTTGCCAACAAAAGTCTGCATAGTCAAAGCTATGGTTTTTCCTGTAGTGATGTATGGAAGTGAGAGCTGGACCATAAAGAAAGCTGACCGGCGAAGAACTGATGCTTTTGAATTGTGGTGCTGGAGGAGGCTCTCGAGAGTCCCCTGGACTGCAAGGAGAACACACCTATCCATTCTAAAGGAAATCAACCCTGAGTGCTTACTGGAAGGACAGATCCTGAAGCTGAGGCTCCAATACTTTGGCCATCTCATGAGAAGAGAAGACTCCTTGGAAAAGACCTTGATGTTAGGAAAGTGTGAAGGCAAGAGGAGAGGGGAACGACAGAGGATGAGATGGCTGGACAGTGTCATTGAAGCAACCAACATGAATTTGACACAACTCTGGGAAGCAGTGGAAGACAGGAGGGCCTGGCGTGCTCTGGTTCATGCGGTCACGAAGAGTCGGACAGGATTTCCAAGCAAAGCAATGATTTGCAATCAGAGAGAGAGTGCAACCAGAGATGATCTGAGGCGATTTACAGGTGCAACTGGTTTGAAGATGTATTTAGATCTTTATTTATTTAGATTCTTCCTCTACAATGGCCAGTAACGGTTAGTCTTTGTTTCATCAATGGGAACTAATAGTTTTAGGATATGGTCTCTCATAGTCAAAGAAGTCTCTTTGTATATATGTGGTTTTAATGACACAGGAGCAGGTATGCAGCCAGGTTGCATGGATCTTCCCCCATAGTAAGAGTTTCTGTTCCTTTTACATTGTAATTGTATAGCACAGTTACAGTTAACA